AGGGGAATTGCCGGCCCTTTAGAAAGGAGTAAGCTCTTTTCTTGAAGGTCCCCAGGGCGTATCGGTCCGGAAAAATCGCCGGTGGTAAACTATTCCACAAAGAGGTTGTACGCGGAAGAAAACTCCTTTTGAAACGTACTGTGGTGGACCGCCAAGCATCCAGATGGTGTGGATGGTATCGGGACGTTTGCCGCGTAGTGCGTTCACGTAATTTGGCGGCTGGGATTAATCCGAACTATTGCTCAGAGCACTCTCCATGGTATATGCGAAATAAAATGCAAAGAGATGCAACAACTCTTCGCAGTGCCAGTGAATCGAGCCGATCGGAAAGCACTCGGTCGTCGACGATTCGAGTCGCTCTACGCTGGATGCGGTCAAGTAGAAGGAGCTGGTACTTGGGAGCCCCAGCCCAGAGATGGGAACAGTATTCCATGTGCGGCCGAACCTGCGCCTTGTGAAGTCGCAGACGGTGTGCCGGCATGAAATATAAATAAATATATAAATAAATAACATATAACATAAACTTATTGCGGTACTAGTATTTTCTAACCACTAAACCCTGTGCAGTTTTTCCATTAACAAGATGAATAGATTTCCAAAACAGCAGTCGACCAACCTTGAAAACATACTTCGTGACCCACATTCTAATAACCTTTTAACTAGCGAAATGTAGTTCAACGTTTGTGCGAAAATATTTCGTTCGCGATCGACGTTCCTCAGTGAGGTTTGCATAATAATAACACAATGGGTCGATACGTACACGGGCTTGTCGCGGTTACAAAACGCGGAGAAGTAACACCTCCAAGAAGCCGCCCTCTCGCGCTCATGAATAATTCTAGTTGTGAGTTGTGACACTCGAGTGGCGGTAACCGCCCGCAGGCCCCTACGGACCCATCACTCCGCTGCGTGCTACATTGGAGCCAAGCATCGGGACTTATAATTTAATTATATCTTCCACAAAACACTTTATATTTAAACTATTATTCTTCGATATATGATTCATTAATCCTTATGAAATCAATTTAATTCTGCAATTAAAACTTCCTTTTAATCCAATTATTATATCTATTCTGTAAAACATAAATTGATAAAAAAAATTTAGCTCTACATTAGGACTTTTAGTTTTAAATAAAGTTTTAGTTTATAAATAAACTAGCTGTTCCCAGCAACTTCATCCGCGTGGGATTTATTACGATTGAATTTCATGGGTTATATTTTTTTGCGCGTAACCCTAATTCTCTTTCTAAAATAAAAGTAGCCTAAGTTACTCTTTATAACATCAGCTATCTGACAGTGAAGGTCCCGTCTAAATTAATTTAGCTATCCTGGAGATTAGCCGAAACAAACACACAGACAGACAAAAATTAAAAAAAATTTTTCGTAATAAGTACCGTATATACTTTCATATACATTCGGTAAAAAGCTGTTATTTTGATATTACAAATAGATATTTCAAGTTTATTTATTTGTATAGATTGCACAAGAACAAACGTCTAGACCCGGAAAAATTACTTAAGCCATACCAATACCGGTGGTGTTCGTATGTAATCTTTTACATGTACACGGCGTTAAAGTATTTTCTTATGTTTATTTTTAACTTTTTTATAACAAAGCATGTAAATTCTAAAAAGATTGATTTATGCCACAACAAATGGTATTTCGTGACGATCAAGGTGAGTCGTCAGCAATAGTTGATGGCACTTTAACGCGGTGTGATACTTACACTTATTACAAAAATGATATAGGATCTTGGATAATTTCCTTTTAGTACTATTTTATAAAGCCAAGGAGTGGAACACCCAGCTGATGCGGTGTCTGTTAAAATTAAAAAAAATTCTTTAGATTTTCCTTAATCCTTAATGGTTGTACCACAGGACAACTTACCCACGCTCATGTATGACTTATACGTCATACATGAGTATATATATATATATATATATATATATATATATATATATATATATATATTATTTCAAATTTGCACACCATGTGCAGTTTGGACCAACTTGAGAGAGAGGATAGTTTTTTGCCCACAATTTTTTTTGCAAATTTTAGGATTTTTAATAGGACATGACAAAGGTTCGCTGAAAAGGGCAGAACAACGTCTGCCTGGCAAGCTAGTGGATATATATAAATAAAATTGAAGTATCTGTCAAGTGTGTGTGTAAGATATAAATAACTAATTTATTAAGCGCAGCATAAACAACAATTTTTAACATATATCTGTCTTACTTTCTCCGGGTTTATATTCAAAATGGCCAAACCGATTGTGAAACTTTACGCCAGAAGGAATCTAGGCTATTTCCGACAAAAAACCCGACATTCATAGATCCTACCTAGGCGAAGTCGGGGCGGCTATCAAGTATACAAAAATAAAAACTCCGTAAAAAATCTAGACCTGTACATGGGTAGTATCTTGAAATCGGATACACATGTCACTGAAATCAGCCGCAAAGTCTTTGCCACCTTACAGTCTCTCTGCCGCCTAAAGAATTTTCTACTTGTCGGATGTAAACAAACTGCTGCCCAACTCCTTTTTTTTTTTAATTATCAGGTACTTATAAGTGACTAAATGTTGACACATATTTCACAGAGAAAGACAGGTGTTTTGGAGTTATTCTCTGATATATAATCTTCAAGCCAGTACCCTCCCTAAGACATATGGTATATGAAAGTCACTAAATCCTAAAATCTAAATCACTCCTCGAAAGCAGGTAGTAATGGTATTTTCAAACGGAGGCGGCTAACTTAAATTCAAGCTCCAGAAATATCTCTTAAAGTATCAAGTCACAAAATATTTTTAAGTCCCTAATTGTCACCAATTCCTAACTAAGTCTTTACATAATACAATTTAGGATATCGTTGGGGAGGATTCCAGCTTGAAAGACGGAATTTGACACCTCAATTATCAACAGAAGCCAAAATTGTTTACGACCTGCATAATATGAGTACCTATATCATAAAAAAGAGCTGGCATAAAATTTCTCACATGTATTTTAATAAAAAAGGATATAAATTATATTATATTATAATGTATATTTCATAAATATATTATATACTTCAGCGACAGTAGCCTAATGGGTTCGAATCCGCCATTCGACTACTGGCGTGAACCACTCGTAACACAGGCAATTTAAGCTTACCACAAGTGGTTAAGGGGAATATTACTAATGTAAAAATTGTAGTATTGTTAATATTCTTTTTAAAAAGAATTAAAAAAAAGAATATCTAAAAAAATAAACACGCCTTATGTCAAATTACAACGTCGTGGTCGTTTGTTCATTAGGTCAGCGTCGCCACGTCGGTAGGATTCATACGGAAGTTGTCGTAGGTACGTCACTAGCACGCCAAAACTGAAAGTGTCTTTCAAAAGTGTTCAATCAGCCGCTCTGTTTACACTTCATTTTATTATGCTTTATTAAATATGATCCTATGGTTGACAATTATGAGTATGCCCATGATTACATAAGCTTAAAGAAAAAGACAGCAATAGCCTGGGAAATTAGCAAAATGTAAGTAAAACATTAAAATGGCTGCGTTTGGCCGAAAAAAGCGCTAGCAAGCGCTTGTGAGCAAAATGGCGATCGTAAGCGGTAAGCGCTGTCAAATCGTAAGTAGCTATTTTACTCTAGGACACGAAGTTAGCTTTAACCGGGGAACCTAACATAATTTAAATATATGTTTGTAAAATATTCCTATTAAAAACTTACCAGTCATGAATTTTTAATAACATCTATAATATGTTTATTCATGTCGTTATATAACTTGAAACTAATATTGCACAAAACAACTTATGAACTCTACTTCAAAACAAACAAATTAAATAAGCAAAATGGCGGATTGTGTCAGCGCTACTGAAGTTAGCAAACGTGTCCTGGACGATAACTGTTTAGTTTCGCCATTTTGCTTACAAGCGCTTCCTGGCGCTTTTTTCGGCCAAACGCAGCCAAATGTGTAGATGTGCTGCCGCTGGGACTGCTGGGTTCGGAACATTTTTTCGGTGGTTTGTGTGTGGTAGAACATCGAAATGGCACTTTCTTTTACTTTATTATTAAGGCATAGTTTATTGATCTATATCGACATTAGCCTCTTAAAATGTGATTTATATACAACTTGTACAAAATTTAGGAAATCATTTTCCTGTGGCTAAATTTCTAAATGTATTTGATTATTTGTTGTGAGTGATAATAAAATTATGTATAGAGCTGCTGATAGAATTAATTGTGCAAGCTAACGCAACTTTTTATTTTTAAATATATAAAAGTAAAGTAACAGCCTATATACGTCCCACGCCTGGTCACAGGTCTCCTCTCAATTCTGAAAGGGTTTTGAAGGAAATGTCCACCGTGCTAGTCCATTTTGTGTTGGCAGACTTCAGTCTTCGAATTATTTTTTCATTACTCAGTCATGCAGGTAACCTCAGGATATATAATTCTCACAAACTCTGTGAATAGAGGAACACAGATATCGAATTTAATATTTTATATCTTTTAAAATATTACGTATTTTGAAACTCTTGGTATTTTTAAATAGCGAAAAAACTTCAATAATATACGACGTAAAGAAGCTGTTTGAGTTTAAAGCTGGAGATTGAATCAATTTTTTTTAAGTTCTTGAAGTTGGTTTTAACTTTTATAAAAAGTAATATTTTTATATTGTTGCAATTACTAAATAACCTTTATTACCGCATATAAAGTTATATTATAAATATATACTACACGTCACACTTTTTAGGAAGATAAAAATAAATGAGACACTCCTTAATGCAAACTAGGCAGAATAAACATCACATGTATTTATATAAACGCGTGAGAGTCCTAATACTGTCGCCTACTCACGAATAATAATATTATTTTCCACCCGTGCCTATACGTATTTTTTACAACGTTAAAGGCATCATAATTTGCTCTTTGTGAAGTCATTTTGAGCAAAAATTTCTTTCCGTCCTAATAACCTAAATGTTTATAATTTATTAAACGAAAACTCAATATTCTTTGCAGGCCTTCAACGTTCGAAAGCGGTCTGGAGCACTCTTAAGGAAACGTAAGTTAATTTTATTTTACGTCAAAATTATATTTTTCCTACTAAACTGCTATAAACGTGAGTTGTTAAAGAGCAAAACGAACACACGACTTATTTAAGATTTCTTGTATTGGTATTTATTATAATTTTAGTAATTTCTAATCCTTCGTAGATTTAATTTGTGGGTACATTAAAGCAAATTCGTATAATCCAATTGATATAAAACTGTGGTACAAATATCTAACAAAAAAGTACTAAATGATTCTAGAATATTATATTACACAAAAGTATAATTGTCGTATAAACAGAAATAGGGGCCAAGTACAGCACAAAAGACGTACAGGTTTGTCGGCTCCCGCTTACTTGAGATTGTACTTAAGATGAAAATGGGCGCCCAAATTCACAGCAGTTGCTTAAATCATAGGATCTTTACAAATGTTCAACGTTCTTGAAACTGCTTGGGTCTAATAGTTTTTGAATTAGGGAGGTTTAAATGTGGCTCAAAGTGTACACGCTGCCGGTGCGTCCCCCTCTTATACGCGTAACTTCGCTGACACTCTGTCGTTTGTCTATATTTTATAAATAATGATGCCTAAAAATATAAAAGTGATAAAATGTCCATGTCATGTCACATGTGTAGACGTATTGTATATTTTATGACTGTGCCTAAAGAAAATCACAAAAGCTTTTCCGTTGATTACACAATCACTACACAAGTTTAAAAAGGTCAAAGTAGATAAAGTCAGTTTTTTATAGTACTGAGGGCGACAAACGGCCACAAAGACTACATGTGAAATGACACGATGGAAAGTGATTGCTGAGGCCTATTGACACCTATTTCGAAACTTTGATTAATGATGAAAATACATATAAATTTTTTTCTTTGTCAGTTGTTAGTTTTTCTAACCGAACTTCCATCCAAGCTGAAATTAACCAAACATACATCATCGGTGACATCAGATTAAATCTTTATACTACATAGAGTTGTTATGCTACCGGCTTGTATTTTAAAACCTAGCTACGAGTAGTTTCAACGTTTATTTAAAGTTTAGATAAAAATCATTTCTAAGAAATCTTTTCGCAATTTTTGACATTTCTAGCCATACTGGTTTCACCAGACTACACTTACACAACGTTAAAAGTTATGTGCACCATATCTGTTATTATTATTTTTACTTTTTTATAGAAAGTAGGGTACAGGTGAGTCAGGACCAAGATATGTACAGCAGTGTATTTGTGGAGGACTGTAATGATGGTGATGATATTTAACTTCAAAAATATTACAATACCTTTGTTATTGTATTACTAATAACGATTTCTTATATTTGCGCGATCTCTATAAATATAATGAAAACTAAGTTTTACGGAAACATAGGTAAAAATAAACGGAATAAACATACACGCGTAATAACCATATAAAAAGGTGTATTAATAAAATAATTCCAATATACAATAGCGAATTCCAAATGGTATAAAAATCTTCCTTTCAAAAATAATGCGTTGCGTCGTAATTTAATACATCCCTCTTTCGTTTAGGAGTAGCGAAATATTCCTTTCTAATGTGTACATAATGTTTAATATTTTTGCATACCAACCTCGTCCTCTTCCTAAAAAGGAGTTTTACAATCTTTATATTTTTAAAACAAAATACAACATCAGATATGACGTAGGTTCAATTACAAAAGCATAAATTTTTACTTTTACTAACAAAAATCGTCCTTTCATCGAAATTTATTTCATTTTAAATTATGAAAATTATCTTTTAATAAAAAGTGAAAACCGACTTCAAAAAACGACTAAAAAGAATAAAATGATTTCACGTTCTCAATCAGTTTTAAGACATCATGATAAGAGAATTAAAGCTCCGAAATCAGAACATGAAATTGTTGTATTCTTTTTAGTGTTTTGATGGGAGTTTTGGCGGGAATTTGAAAACGACGGATTGTTACTCCTGTTTTATTATTAAAATAATGGTTTGTAGTGAATTTTGGTACGTAAAAGTAATGCGATTTTGTATATTAAATGTTGGCCCATGTGAACTATTAGTGAAAACGCCGAAACAAGTGCTTCGATGTTAATAGAAACCTCAAATTATTTTGTTCGCTTGGGCGCCGTAAGAACTTGAGTTACAATCATCGACTGTCCGCTGAGTTGAGTTGTCGTCAAAATCACCTAAGTACTTCACAATGTGACGTAACATGTTTTTTTTTTGTCCCTGTTGCACATCTTGGTTCCTATTGCGGTAAAAAAATCTAAAAAACGAAGATCACGAATTAAATGGAGACATGACTTAAAGGACAAGCATTCACGCCAAAACCTTAATAATAAAAAAGTTCTTTGATATACGCTTTTACTTTTTATTAAAAATACGTTATTTTTACCCTTTTGAGTGAACTAAGGAAAATCACAATCTCACCGTTGTCTAAATAGTTTCAATAAAAACTTCATCGCCTATCTTGCCACCCTCATGGGTGGAACTTTTCTCCGAACTTTATAAGACCCGCCCTAAATTATAACTCAATTAATTAAATAAATCATTAAAAAATCACATTAGGCTAATATTTGACAAAGATATCGCGTAACATACATAAAACAAAAAACGTATACGCTTAAAATGAAAGTTAACGTTAAATGTGACGTTTCTGGCAAAAAATTACGACAATTTTATGTAGCAAAGTATAAGCAAATAGACTGAATATTTGTCTACCAGCCTGCTAAGCAATAAAAGCCAATTTTCCTTAACATGTATATTTTTGTTTCAATGCCATAGATATCCAAGTTTTAAGAACTACGTGTATCATAGTTTCGTTTTATATATTCATAGTATACATATTTATATTAATTTGTACATTATTCAATAGCATATTTTTTCTAAGCCCCACAGTGTAAATAGTGAAACAATATAACATTTTTTTGAAATTTTAATCTAAAAAATATGTAAAAAATGAAAAATAATGTAAACATGCAGATGACAATCGATAAATAAGGATCTTAATTAGTAAAAGTATTCATTTTTTCGTCAGGGTTTAGGGTTATAGTGATTACATGTAATTACTAGTTTTGGCCCGACCCAGGTTTCGCACCCGGGACATGTTCAGCTTTGTTGATCAGATTACGCGCTTACGATCACCAGACCAATGAGGCAATCAGTAGTAGAGAAATAGATAAATGCTCTATATTTATGGCCGAAAATATGTACTCGCAAATTATCTTTACCACATTAAATACAGTAAGGCAAACGAGACATTCTGATTAAGAACTTAGAAGAAATTTTAATTTTTTTTTTTTTAGAACGGCATTCAAAACGAGACGAGTGAAAAAATGTTTTTGTGAATGCTGATTGCTTTCTAGTCTCTACTTATGTTTTTGACCACATATTCTCTCAAGAACTTAATGAAATTATTTAAATGCCTTATTTTTTTTGTAAACAGAAACTCATTGAATATCATCGTTGATGGTCTGTATTGAGACTGGCCGCTGTGACCAAAACTCGATCTGGAGAAAAATGTTATTACTTCTCTACTCGTGTCCGAGATGTGCAGGAAAAAAAATTCATAAAATATCACTAGCAAACTTATACCAAAATTAGTAATAGCCGATCATAAGACCCGCCTTTTTTAATAATCTGTAGACATCATAACATGTATCTACAATTGTTCCGCGTAGTGGCGGTGTAAAAATATCCACTACCATATATCGTCCCGTGGGTGTAACAAGCGACAGAGAGAAATTGAAACGGGAGATGGGCAGCAGCATCTTCCTCATAACAACCAAAACTAATAAAAAAACTGCGGTTGACAATCACTGTGTCCACTATGGCAAAATCCTTCCTATGAGGCTATCTATGGGGGGGGGGGGGGGGGGCAGTGGACTTTTAAAGGCTGTAATATATACTAATTTATACTAATAGTAATATTATAAAGAGGAAAGTTTTTTGTTTTTTTGTACCGAATAAGCTCCGAAACTACTAAACCGATTTTAACAATTTTTTCACCAATAGAAAGCTAAATTATCAGAAAGTAATATAGGCTATATACGTATTTAGAGAACTTAAGTAAAAATTGCAAGATTTCGCCTATAAAATTCATTATTTGGTGTGCGCTGAGAAAACTATTGTTGATACATAAAAATTATGTACTACATGATTATAGTACTCATTACTACCTACAAAAAAGTGCGCGAGGGAATATATAAAACTAAATTTATTGGTTTGGTATCTGACATCGTTGTGGTATTAATTCTTATTCATAGTTTTATCATGAAGGGTATCCCTTAGTTTCGCTTACAGCTCGACCAATTTGGATGATTTTCTGTGTGTGTTTGAATGGGTCCCTAGATGGTTTGGTTCATTTGGACCCGGTAGGTGGCGCTGTTGTCGAAATGTATAAATCACCCGTGCGAAGCCGGAGCGAATCGTTAGTGGTATATAAAATTGATTTATCTGTCTATAATATTGAAATGATGTCCTTTTTTGAGCTGAGGGGGTTATTTGCTTGTCTTTAAAACATGAACAACCATTTAATTTGTCTCTCTGCCTGTCTGCCCGGACTTATATTGGAAATGACTGAACATATTTTAATGAAACTTTACGGACAGATAGAGAGCAGATCCGGGAGTGATCTATGCTATAGTTATCCAAAAAACTAAGAGACATTGAAATAATACTAGTTTTTACGGATTTTATCGCGTATATTTAACTATAAATAATAGTTTGCCCATGGTGGGGAGGCTGAGAAGTCGTCCAAATGTCATAGTTAACAGAGGTTACCATAGATAAAAATTTTAAATTTCATCGGAAATTTTTTTATTGAAATGAGATTTTAAAGCCATATTATTGAAAATTATGAAATTTGTTTGTGCTAAAAGGGCGTACGTTTATTGATTGTCTTTCAAAAGATACTATGTAAAAAAGGTCATTGTAATGTGTACTTCCATACTGTTTAATAAAATAAAATATGTGCTTCTGTACAGTACTGTACTGTTTAATAAAAACGTACTTTGGCCCTTTTAGCACCAGGTCA